TATCTACATTCAAGACTTCAAGTGTGTATAACCTAAAAATGTTTAGAACATTTGAAGTTTTGAATGTAGATATCTAATTTTAAGCTGTCTAGTAGTGTATAACCTAAAAATGTTTAGAACATTTGAAGTCTTGAATGTAGATATCTAATTTTAAGCTGTCTAGTAGTGTATAACCTAAAAATGTTTAGAACGATTAGTATCTGGCAAAAGCTTCAGCAGATATTTCCTTTGTAACATCTCTACCAACAATCGGTCCAGTTATCAATGTTATAAAAGCTATCTTCAAGTTTTGTACACTAAAAAATTTATATTTTGCATATGAAAGCATTGTAATGTTTAATGATAATCTGCCAAATGTCATTAACAATCGCTTACTAATTTAAAAGTTATAGCATGAAAACTATAACAAGCACGAAATGGTTTCGAGGCCGGTCCCAAGGATCGAGCCCGTGCTGATAAGAGTTAAATAAATAAGCTAAAATTCTATTTCGGTGATGAAAGAAATGGTTTATGTTTACTAGATGTCAGGTTTTTATGTTGCTGTTTACCGATGTCTAATGGACTGAACTGTATTTTGGTAGGCTCGAGGTCTTGCTACCGACATATTGAAATTTTAAGTAATCATTTCTACGATAGATAGTGTAGAGAACCTGACAGTTCCATACATTAGAATAATTTTGAAAGGCTGTGACCCAAACATTAACTGCCAGATCTAAAACACTAGTAAGAATTCATTACACGTGCTGATGAGACTTGCCTTTTTAACCTGAGAAGTATAGATATTTGAATAGTTTTTTGGTGGGTCAAGAGCCATGATTAATATTATATGCTTCACAATATTAGAAAGTTTCATACCTGAATTGTAAATTTTCCCTTTTATTTATTAAAAATGTACGATTGCTAAACATAGAAAATTACAATAATCGCAATTTGAAATTTTTCCTGTAGGCCTAATTCTCTGGAACCACCGAATCCTTCTTTTTGTAACAGATCTTGTCCGTTTGATCTGGAAAAGATACAGGTTAGTGAGCTATTTTAAACCTTGTAGTTTTTATTATTATTTGAGTATGAGATAAGCTTTTAAATTTTGTGTATATAAAGTTCATTTTAACAAAGAACTCTTATTTCTCAAGTTCCATCAAACTCACCTATTAACATGAGGCTTTTGTGTAGAGATTTCTCTCTTCTTGAATCTACATATACAAGTATGAAATTAAAGAGGAATGTGGTAACTAGAAAAATCTTGAGAGATGTGATACGTTATAGATACATGTGAAATATGTAAGATGAAAAGTCACTTAAATTATAAGATTTTTGATATAATAAGCATTGTATTCTAAGCACTGTAATCGTTTGTTTGAGTTATACAAGTAAATGTGTAGTGAGATTATTGTACATGTTGGTTTTTGTACGCATCCATGTTTAATGTTGCATTTCTTGTATGAATAAATATGGTATAAAAGTGTAGCAAATACCTAAAGTATATAACTTTTAAGTTCTTAATTTTATAAGGAAATATTAAGCAGATGCTATGTATATCTTTGTCATGACTTGAGTTTCAATCAAAGTACTGCCTTGCTGCTTTAGAAAAACAAAAAAAACACCAATTAAAATACTGCCATCAGCAGAAAGACCAAAGATTAATTAAAACACTGCTGTACTGCTTCTGAACTTTAAAAGTTCTATATTCCAAAAACTGTTAGTCAGCAAAGTACTTTATTTAATGTAGTTTATAATTTTACTACTTGCAATATAATAATAGTTAAATTATCTGTATTGTTTTGCTCATTTAACCTTGCTTTAAGTTTGTTGATCAGTAGTCTTTCTTCTATGTGCAGTTCCTGTTCATTATTCACTCTTGCAAGAAAGTTAACTACTTTTAGATTCATTACCTTTGTTTAGCACGTGACTGTTAATGCTTGAAAATGTTTCAAATGTGCATGTTGTTATGAGCAAATTTTAAGCTGTCTAGTAGTGTATAACCTAAAAACGTTTAGAACATTTGAAGTTTTGAATGTAGATATCTAATTTTAAGCTGTCTAGTAACTGTACTATTTCCTATAGATCATTTTCCAGATGGTTCTGCTACTTATAAAGTGAGTCAGAACAATGTAGGCCGGTGAGGCAATCACTGATTGGCATGTCCTTTAGCCAATCAGGCTAAAGACATTTCTAGAAGTCTTAGTTAAAAAAGATGACTTTCGTTTTCTCATCAATATATACAGAAAACCTACCTTTACAGGACAAAACGAACCTCATTGTTACTTTAGTCCATCGGGCTATAGTTATCTGTTCAAAATCTAAACTAGATTTTGAATTGAAGACAATTAAAACTATTTTACTAGAAAATGGGTATCCAGAAAACGTCATCAATCAAATTACTTCAAGGAAAATTGTGAGCTTCTCAACTGACCCAAAATTTGGTCCTAACAAGTGTCCTGTTTACCTAAAACTACCATGGATTAGTAACATTTCAACAAAATTTGAAAACTAATTGAAAATGGCCATTACGAAATGTTTTCCTACAGTGAACCCCTACTGTGCTTATTCCACACAAAGTTTAACAAAAATGCAAATTCAATTAAAATCTGTTTATGAAAAAAAACAAAAACAAACTCTGAGTTTACCTTACATTCCAGGTTTAACAAGTCATTATATAAAGTATCTAAAAAGTATCAGAATTTTTACCCTATTTTCAAACCAATAAATAAGATAAAAGATATGATAGGGAATGCTAAAGACAGAATAGAATCAACAAATAAGACAGGTATATACAAGATAGAATGTGAATGTGGCAGTGTTTACATTGGTCAAACTAAAAGAAATTTAAAATATAGATTGAAAGAACACAAAATTTACCTAAGAAATAATAAAATAAAAATTTCAGCTATAGCCAAACATGTAAAAACTACCCAACATACATAATTATGGGAAAAAAACTTTAGTTTTAGCTCAGCCTCGAAGTTTTATATCATTAAATATTAGAGAAACATTAGAAACAATGAAATATAAAAAAACAAAAACAAGTATTAAATAGAGATGAAGGACCAGCAAGTCAATACATTGATATATGGTGAGATACATTATTATTTTTTTTTTTTCAATTACACCACGAAAATATGCAAATAACAATGAAGTAATGCGACAAGGGGGAAAGTATAAAATAGTA